TCTTTCCCCTCTTCCGAGCACAGAGAAGGGTCTGGAGCCCCAGACTATGGCTCTGACTTGGTGTCAGCAGTGGTTGCATTTACCCGATACATCTGGGAGCTGAAGGCATGTTTTTTGATGGTCCTGGTGGGGCTAGGGAGTGCTGATTCTTTTTTGGTGATGCCCCAAGAGATCTGAGAGCACACAGCACCAATCAAACCAGTTCCCAAGTTCATCAATTTGCTGTGTGCAGTCCTGTTGTCACAGCTGTGATTCTCCACTCGCTGCTGGAGATGTTGCAGCCACCTCACCCAGTAGACAGGGATTGCTGGTTTCAAGGGTGATTCAGTCACCAGATGTTTCAGGGTACAGCAAACAGCTTTAAATGTTTGTTGTTTTTCCTCTCTTTCTCCTAGTGCTGTGTAAATCAGAAGTATCTGGTTTGTAAATCTGTAGATAGCTTCTGCTCCTGATGTGACTTGACTTTATTTTCATAGAGCATTGATTGCTCTGCACGGAGGCCCAGAGAGCACTTGGCAGGGATTGAATGTGTTGTTACTGTTTTGGGATAGAAGAGCTTTGCAGTTCTGGTTTGTGAACCTCAGGCCACATCCCCTTTAGGTATTGACAGCTGACTAGGACAAAGCAAGTTGAATTTGTTCCTCTTAACCTAGGGCTCTTGCACATATGGGACATCATGGTGATCTTAGAGCTGTCCCTTAAGCCCACCTTGAGGCAGGGTGAGATGCTTCACTTAGAATTCAGGTTATCTCCATCTGCAGAGCTCAGACCTCATTGCTATCCTCAAATACAGTGTCAGGACTGTGCTGGCACCATCTTCAAGAGGGGACTGGACTGAGAGCTGAGTCTCATGTCCTGCCCTAAGTGTAGGGAGGGGTGATAGAGCATCTCTACATTAATGCATTCCCATACGTGCCTCTACATACTTTCTTGTGCTCCTGTGTAGAAAGGAGACATATGGGCTCAAGTATTTCAGGTGTGACCTTGGGTTTTAGTGACTTCTGGCTTTGGGGTGCCTATGGAATATGGTCTCTGTGGGAAGCACTGAAGCTCACTCCTTGAGAACCTTCACGACTTAATTTCTGAGGTTGGGACAGATATCATCAGTACTTTTAAAGCTAATAATCCTTGTAAAAATGCAAACAAGCCTGATCTCTTCACTTAGGTAGTGGAGCTGTAAAGTGAGTCGAGTAGTTGTCATTCTCAGATAGCATCGGTATTCAGAAAGGCTATTTCCCTGACGGTGCCTTTGGAAATGCCTCTCAATACATATGCAAATGTAAAGCTTATCAGGCTCCTTTTTTTGACTGACAGCAAGAAGTCTGGGAAGAGAGCTTGCCTGGGACCAAGGAGCGATTCTGTTAAGGCTGAGACAACGTAGAAGAGCAGGGTGGGTGAACGTGAAACACAAACCCAGGAGTCAAGTGGGTAGTGGAGCTGTCATGGAGCAGCCTTGGCAGTGAACATCCCTCTGTGTCTCCTGGGGCCACCTCTGTCTTCTGTGCATGCACCTTATGTATCAACCTTTTAATACTCTCTCCCTGATGATTTTTCTTTCCACTGGGATGAAACGGAAGGGAAGAAGAGGAGAAAGTGAAGCTTTTCATTTTTAGGTTGCAAACTTCAGTCTGGTTTGCTGTTGTCTCACGTCTTTGAAACACTGGATAACTGACCTGTCGATAAAGCAGAAACTGCTTTACCAGCTCTGCTACATGAGTAGCTCTTGTATACTTTCTAACTGAGGGTAGATGTGGATCTGAAACAGATGCAGGGCAGAAGTTAGTATCTGTCAGGAGAGAGAGCAGAAGCCTTGGATCACTGGTGGGGCAAGTGTTTGTGAGCTGCTTGCTAGTGCAGTTCTGCATATGGAAAAGCTGGAAAGTCCAGAAATGTGCTGCTCTGGTGGTGCTGTTGTGCTATCAGTGGGGCTGTGTGTAGTGCTCTGCTTTTCTAGGTATTAAGCAGAACTCTCACTTGTCTAGTGCTTTTCTAAAGAAGGCAAGAGTATAGTGGCTGTTAAACACTCCTAGGGAGGTCGCTTTTTAATGAAATCTTAGCTAGCAAAGATGGATTAAGTGTTTCTCATTTTCTCTTCAGTAATCCTTTGGAAGTGAGTTGGTGAACCAGGGCTTGATTTATTTGCCCCAGTGACCCACCCCAATGTGAGGTGATGAACTGTAGTTTTGTAATGGGAATTCAGTATAAATGGTACAAGTTTAAAAAAAACAAACAACCCCAAAAAACAATCAAACCTGTGATCTACCTTCCCTTCACTTTTCTGAAGTCTGTTTATTTTTAAACTGGCTTTTTGGAAGCTGATAGCTGGTAAGTGATGATTAATTTTCTACTGGAAGATAAGGTAGTAAGTATAAGCGGTAGCATGAAAATGGCTAATATTAGATGGCACGTATAATCTTATGCAGCTCTGGATATTCTACTGAGACCCAAGAGGAAGTCTGCTCTGTCTGAAAGTAAATGGTGTTTCCATTCTCCATGTATGAGCTGGGATCTGGGCTGCAGGACAGGGACATCTCCAAGCTACCTGATGGGATCTGCCCAATTGCATCCACGTTGAGTGATGTACCACAGTTCCCATAAATCTACCCACAGATCCAGATCAGAAATTGAGGCACAGTTGCTGTATTGTGCTTGTGAGTACTTTAGCTTTCCTCTGTATGCACAGTTGGAGTCTCTGTGTGCATACATAGCCTTCCTGTCTGTACAGCTTTAGGTAGCCCTGTTGGGAGCAGTGGCCATTGCTGCTGCTTCGTTCTTGGCAGAATAAAGTTCCCAAAAATAAGAAAAAAAAGTCAGCCTCATTGGGTGATGTTAGCATGACCTGGGGAAGGAAAAAGCCTGCAGGTGCCATAGGATATGTTCCTGGACTGTGAGGTATGTGGGAACATTGGGAGGAGTGACTGGGAGTTCCCTGAGGCCAGGGCAATGGCTTCCACTGGTTTTAGCCTTATCTAGATCTGACTGGGATAACTGTTTATCCATCTACAAGCCTGGAGGCATACAGACTTCTAGCTGGTGATGAGACTGGGATGAAATCCTGTGCATGCAGGCAAAGCTTTAATTGTACCCCCCCCAACTGAATATTGTTGTTAAAACTTCTTCAGGTTCCACTGACGGTGTTTGCTCCCAGTTCCCAAAATGGGCATTGACTTTATTCCAATTGGGTAAAACGTTAATGAATTTGTTAATGTGAAGAGTTGGTTTTTGTTTTTAATTTATTAAAATCATCAACACTTATAAAAAGGTTAGGGAGGCCCAGAAGAAAGCCGTGGATATGGCAGGTAGCCTGTAATAGCAGAGACATTAATCTATGGCCTCTTGCTGTTGTCTCTTCCAACAGAAGAAGAATGGTCTCTCTGGGTGGGGGGGTGGGAAGATCTCTGCTTCTATTGATTCCCACTTGTAAATGTCCACATATTTACCCAGAGGGTACGATATATTACAGTTAAAATGGTGGCAAAGAGAAATGGCTGTTCCCTGTGGGTTGGTATTGATTGGATGTGCAGCTACCCTGTACTTATTTTCCCTCTTCTTCACACAGCCTTTAGGCCAAAGTCCTTTGTTTTTATTAGTGTATTTATAATCAATATACATATTATTTACTATGATGTATTAATGAGGCCTTGGAGATCAGAAGATGCAGGGGCAGAAGCAAAGGGTGAGGTTCATCTCATTTAATTTGAGACATCTCCAATATAGACTTTAACATCTGTGTCCCCTTGGG